ACATCAATGACAATGACAAAAGAGAATCATGGTTCAGCTGCCTCCTGCACTACTGGGGATCGAGCCTGGCTATGTGCTCTTGACCAGAATGGAACCTAGGACCCTTCAGTCCACAGGCCAACACTCTATCCACTGAGCCGTACTGGCAAGGGCTAAACACCATCTTAAAACCTCGACTCAGTCAAACTAAATAAGACCAGGCTGGGGGGAAGGAAGAGGAGAACATATGAACAAGAAATTTTTCTCTTAATTGCTAAGAGAATCAAAATGGAAAATTACTTTCAATTCAACCCCAACATACCAAAATTCCACATTAATAAAAAATAGGTTGTACTGTAGGGGTGAACTGGAACACAAAGTTGATTTCCAGCAAATGATAATCTTGATTTCTAACTAAATATTGAGATTCAACTTTGCATCGTAGAATTCCAAGAAAAAAATGAAAAATAAGTAGAATTAATTGTTTGGACCTGACCCAACACAAGTGCCTACTTTAGATCCCAGAGGCCAGAACAGGATTTTCCTTTAAGTATTAACCCATTTTACCCAGCAATTTCTAAAAGCTGACAACTATCAGAGAAGACCCTCATACGAGATTGTAACAGCACCCAGCTGATAAGTCATGAGAAACAGAGGAAGAGGCAAGCTATTCTTCTCCCAAATTATGTGATTTTTAATGTTTTTTAACAATGATTCTTCTAATGATTCTCAAAATACGTGCCTCAGGTCAGTAACTGACATCAAAATAAAATGATCTCTATAAAAAACCCTCTAGCTTTGTTTCAAATTTTTACTAATTTTACTTTCCCTTCTTATCAAGGTGATGTCACTAATTTAAAAGAATTCAAATCTGGCACTCACAAAGGTGTTCACTAATATACTGGGGATGTTCATGGATGCTAAAACGCCAACATCTGGCAAATTCAACACAGTTTAAACAAGGTAGTTGAGTACTCAGGTAGTTACTGACCAATTAAGAGACGTAGATTTTTATAAAGACTCTAAGAGACACTATTCACTAAAGAAGCTTTTGACAACAACAGCAACAACAAAAATCAGTTTTAAAAGCTGAGAAAAACTAAGGTTGCAGAAAACGCAATTTGTTCAAAGGCACCATTAGACTCATACTTAGCTAGAGGGGCACTCAGTGGTCTAAATCCCAGTTCTAATTACAGTTACATTGACTATAATCACATCTTCACATAAAAAAAACAGTCCAACTTTGCTCAAATGCAAATATACTAAAGAAACATCCTACTGTGTTCATCAGTCTTTCCTCTGTAGTGCCGCTGAGATTCTATTCAACCCTTCCGCACGGATATACTAAAATTTTCATCTCTATCAATGTTATGCCCACAAGATAAGAAACCCCTGAGCTCCTTGGAGATAAGAACTCACCTCCTTCATTTATTTAGCACCTGCACATAGTACGTGCCAACACGGACCTAGCAGGTCCTCAGCCAATGGCCATTTATGGAAACAGAAATGTTATCTCCTTTCCATATGACATTTCCTCTGTGGTGCATCTCACAGCACCATTAACAAGTAAAATTGAGATGAGATGAGTTAGGCCAATTTGCATCAGTCCAAGGCGAATTTCTAGAGGGCACTTTTGTTGTCTCCCAATACATGCTTCCTCTTTAGGAAATTCCAGTTCTTCAAACAGAAAATGTACCCCCAACAAAAGCCTTCCATTTGTAGGGCCATAAGAATACATAGGAAGTTAAGTCCATTGGTCTGGACAAAAATCAGAGGATTATCAACAAGGGAGATTTCCTCATACTTGGTAGCAGCCAGAGCATTTTTTAAATTACAACACACCAGCCAAACAAGCTTTATTATCTGTGACCCAGACACGCTGTGTGGCTAAGCTGACAAGCCCTGAGCAAGTTGATCAAGAATCACTGTGGCAGGAATTCACATGGAAGTAAAATTAAAACAAATGGGAACTAGCATTAAATTTCCAGTGCACAGTAAGACTTCAGTGGGGAAGGGGACAGTGGAGGGATGTGAATATTTCCCAAGGCCCCTGTATCTAAAACTGGCACAGGAAGTTTGAGAAGGAGAAAGAAAGAAAAAAAAAAGGGGGGTGTTTATTTCTCAATCACATGAAGGATTTGGTACAAGTTTTGTTTCCGCTCTGCTGGGTCCTTTCTTGTCTGGTGACAAAATAAATCCACTTTTCAATACTAGGTCTTGGTTCGTTCAAGTCCTACCTGGAAGGATGACATGAACACCCTTTCTGGAAAAATACCAATGTGTTTAAAAAGGCAATCTTCACTTGCTTTCTCCAACCAGTTCCCACCAAATAGGGTTAAAAGGAAGGACCAATAGGAGCCCCAGAGAGAAGCCAAACAGCGAGAAGAGAGCCCCAGAAGACCTACCTGGAAGCAATTCATCGTCGAAAGACGAGTCTAAAGAGAAGTCCAATGAAAATGTGTGTCAGATCAGGTGGAGGCAGCCATCTCCTCAGCACCAAGCCTTCTCTGTGGGAAGTGAGGCTGGGAGGGACAGGGTGACCCGAGCAGCCTTTTATAAGGGGCGGGGTTAAGGATTCCCATCCCAGCCCTAGTACACTGCCTTTCGGCTTGCTTTACATAAATGAACACGTGAGCTGTTTATAGTAGTGGCTCCTTCCATCAGGTCCAAGGAGGCCTAATCTCCTTTGTCCTTGAAACAACTGAAGGTGACATGAGCCGATACACTGAGTACCTCACCTCTGAGTACTAGGCCTAGTAACTCACTTAATGCAACTGTCCTAGGAGGTGGGCACCGCTATCATCCCGTTTCTCCAGATAAGGAAAGACAAAGCGCAACCTGTTCAAGGACAAAAAGCTGGACTGTGTTGGATCCAGGACTTGAACCCGGGAAGTCTAACGTGAAAGCACAAACTCTTCATCCCTTGCTCGAAACACAGTGTCCAAAGAGGAACGGAAAACTCCCAACGCACAGAGTACTGGCTCCTCACCTCCCCGGGGCGATGACCCCAAAGGTGGCACTGCTTTAAAGATTCCACACGAGGTTGTCAACTCTCCAGGCACGCTCCTCTCATGCCCTCCCTGCGGCCCGCCTCCCTGGCTGGGTTTCACTGGAAACAGGTAGTGACATTCTGCCCTGCAGTGCCAAGAAGCCCCAGCTGCCTGAGGGTGGAAAAAAAAAAAAAAAAAAAAAAAAAGCTGGAGGCTGGCTTCCTCTTGGGACACACTAGCTCTCGGGTTCCCAAGCTGCTTTAGTACAGAGAGGTGTCACCACACACATGCAGGACAGGAGCACTGCTCAGGGCTGGGGCTGCACCTGTCCCCCCCTCCCCACACACACACCCAGGCCTGAGGCCACCCCAGCGAGCCTGAGAGAAGAGCACTGGTGAGCTGCTCCGGTTTCACAGGTCCCCTCGGAGCTCAGCCTGGCTTAGAGGGACACCGGGCAGACTGGCATCACCTCCTGCAGCGAGGAGGTGATGCCATCCCTGCGTGGAGGAGGAAGAGGAGAGGACACCGAGATGCTCCGGGAGCCACCCACCTCCTCCCGCTGGCCTTGGCAGCTACCGCCCTGGGGGGCCTCCCCCTGCATTTGTTCTGCTGACCACGGCGATGGTGACCGCATCCAACGGTGCTGGAAACCGAAGCCAGCACCAGTGGGTCTCAATGCCACTCCTGAGCTGCCACATGGCTCCTCAGTGCTCCTCTGCCATGTGTTAATCTTGCAACAAAATGTGGGACAGAAGATGTAAAAAGCTGCGTGAGGGGGGAAGGGCAGTCAGATCACCTTACCTTCCAGACTTCTCCATCAAGCCTCCTCAGATTCCCTACTGTAGGGGCCTGTATTACTAGCCTGAATCACAAGGGAGGTGTTCCCCAACCTGGCATTAAAAAGAGCACGGGTTCCAGCCAGAGATAGGGACGCTTTGATGGTGGTATGTTGGGGGGGAGAAGGGGGGAATATCCTTCCTTAGAAGGAAGGCAAGGCACACACTCTCTCACCCTGCACAGGAGGGCAATGTCTTACTCCAGAGAGCAAACTGTGCACCCTAGTCGGGGGAGGAGAGGGGGGACAGCAGGGTGCACCCTGAGGACCCAAGGGCTAGAAGCTGCTCCTGCAGGAAAGCAAGATAACTGAAAGGCACGGGGAAGCAATGGGAGACACCCAAGTTCAAGTCACCAACCACCACACCAGGGAACCTGTCCCCATCAGAGCCTAGTGATGTCCCCTTGCTGGGTCCACGCCCACACCAGCCTCCCCTGGGTCTGCGGCGCATCCGGCGCATCCGGCAGGATAACCCTGAGGACCTCCCTTCGCCCCGGCCCGTCCTCCCCCCACAGGCCTTCGGTGTTACTGCACAGAGCCTTGTGCCCCTTTCACAGATGGGGAAACTGAGGCTTTCCCAAACCAGGTGGAAGTTCACTTCCCTGAACACATTTTTGCACTTTTTTTTTTTTTTACAGCTCGATGACATTTACAGCATAAATACCTCCAGATAACACCGACTGCCTTTGCAAAGTGAATTTGAAATAACAGTTTAAGGAGTGAACTCAAAAGGAGAGGAGGGCGGTCAGGGAGGCTGCCGGGACGGCTTCTTCTACCTCAAGGGCAGGATGAGTACCCGCCCCCACCCCATCCGCTTGTCCCCCCCCAAACCCTTCCCCCGGGACGTCCGGGTTCGGCCTGCCCCCCACACACACACCTCCCCCAGGCAATGCCCCCGCAACCCGAGGGCGGAGGCGCCCGGCGCGGCCAGGGGCCGGCGGGCGGGCGCGCTCCCGGGGCCCCAGGCAGAGATGGGGCCGAGGGCTCGGGACCCCTCCCCGGGGCTCCAGGGGCCGCGGCGGCCGACCCGCCCAGCCCGGGGCCGGCAACTTGCAGCGGCGCCGCGGCCCCGCCGCCCTCGCCCCCACCCCCACCCGCCGCCGCCGGGGAGCGTGCAGCTCGGGTTTCCCTTTCTTCGCCGCCCGCGCCTCGGGCGCGACCCCCCGGCGGCGGCGGCGGCGGCGGCGGCCACTCACCATATTACAGATGGAGGCGATGTTTCGGACAGTCATTAGTCTAAAGGTTGCAGCGATCCCGCACCGCCATCTTTACGAGGTGAAAACAGGACTGTCCATGGTGGAGCGCCTGCAGGGAGGCCGGGCGGCGGGCGGCGGGCGGGCGGCGGCAGCGGCCTGGGGTCCGGCTTTCAGTTTGGCTGGAGAGGAGGCCGGGAGGGAGGGCGGAGGGAGGGAGGAGGAGGCAGGAGGCGGGGGCGGGCCCAGGGGCGGGGCCAGAGCGGAGGGCGGGGATTGGCGGAGCGGAGGGCGGGGATTGGCGGAGCGGAGGGCGGGGATTGGCGGAGCGGGGAAGCCTGGGCCGCGGGCGGCGGCGCGGGAGGAAAGGCGGCCCGAGCGCCGCGTGCTCCCCGCGCTGTGCGCCCCCGCCGTGCGCCCGGTTCGGGCTCGGCCCCGCGGCCCTCCTGCGCTTGCCCGCCCGCGCCCCGGCTCCGAGCTCGGCCTTTTTCTTTTCCGTTTTATTTCCTGCTTCCGTGTGTGTGGGCTGAAACGCAGGGGCAGGCCCGTGGGGCTGAGGCAACCGCACCGCGCGGGTCCCCGGGCAGACCCAGATGCGGCGGCGGCGGCGGCCTCCTCGGGGCTCTTGGGGAGGCGCCGTGGGGGACCCAGGGACAGCGCTGGGCACCGCCCCGCGGAAGGTCCCACCTCCGCCCGTCCGCAGGCTGAGGCTGGTGCGGAGCTGGGGCGGGGGCGGGGGTGCGCCCCGTCCCGAGCCCCGACGCCGCGGGGTGGGGGGGCCGGCAAGGACACGGGGCCCTTTTCCGCCTTCACTTTCTCTCTCCTGCCTCGCGGCCCCCGGTAACACTGGGTCTGCATAGTCTGTCCGGTAGAGAACGCGAAGTGGTGGGGGTGACTGAGGCCAACGTTTACTTTTTCCCTTGGGGCGGCAGCCAGATGGCACCGGCGGGGCCCCAGGAGTAAATGGGGTCAGGACGTGGGAGGGTCCGAAAGCCCTCGCCAGCGCGGGCCGGCCGCCGGGCCGGGCGCCCGGAGGGGAGAGGATCCGGGTCCGGGCGGAGGCCAGAGCGACGCGCTCCGGCCGGGGTGGTGTTAGCAGGTGGAAGGACAAGTCTCCGTTCTGGGCAGGACGCTGTTTATAAGGAGCAATGTGAGTCCAAAAAGAAGGAGAACCAAAGGAACGCCCCTGAAGGAAGAACACACCGCTCTCTGGGGCACCAGTCGCTCTAGGTGTTGAGATTGGAGCTGTATTTGGCTTAGACACATTTCCTGCCCACAAAGGTGGCTTCTGACTCAAAGGAGCAAATCTGCACCGCTTAGCAGAGATGTTCGCGGGAAGTGTAGGAGCCCATGTTCAAACGTGTGAAACGAGTCTACATAGCAGGTAGCAATTCAATGTTTTCGGCAGAAAAGTTGCACAGGTGGAAAACACGTGGTAATTCTTAAACCAATACATTTCATGACAATTGAGAAGTTAATATCATTGAAGATAGTTTTTATCTAACCGAGGGGAAAATAATAACGCTTCCAATTCTCCATGATCTATTTAATGTTAAACACCAAGATTTGAGAACCATTGATTTCTAATAGTCCAAGGACCTGGGTGGAAATTAAAAGACAACTGTTGGCTCAAGTTTTGTGGGGTCATATAGGCTCCATATATTTTAAGGAGTAAATTCCCGCTTGTGGTAAGCCACTCTGCCTACATTGTATTTCCAAACAGATTCCTATTATGGTGATTGCTAACTTCGATTTCTTATTGTGAGTCATGATGTTCTTCCATGATCTTTAACCACCACCATAAGTGTCGGTAAATAGAAGCTACTATTACCACCTTTTGCAGATCAGTAAAATCAGGCTGGGTCATGTTACCCAGATATTACAAAGGAAGCTGGTGCCATAACCCGGCTGACACCTTGGAAGAAGAAGAAAAGCAGAACACCCAAACAATAGCCAGTTGGGTAACTGAGGCCTAGAGATGCTTAAAGACTTGAGAAGAGTCACAAAACCAGTTCAGGAGCATCCTCAAGGAGAACACTCAAGCCCTGGGACTCGATTTCACAGGCATTCCACCATAAATGCATTAATCCAAAGCCTTAAATGAAATGGACGTCTTATACCATAACAGGGTTCAGTATTTCTGCTGGCAATGGACTGCAAAGTCCACAGGACTGAAACACCATTGTCATAATGAAAACTGAACATCATCTAATTCTGAGCGGCAGATCCGCAATTTAAAGGGATCTTTTTTTTAACAGCACAGAGCCTAGAACTGAAGTGGTCAACATAGACCAACATCCAGATTGAAACTCAGGCAGTGAATTACATACACAACAAATCAATTGAACACGGCAGATCTTGTCAGGCTTCTGAATAATTAAATACATTTTCACACCACTATCAGGTTGGTATTCACAGATGTAAATTGGAAAATGCATCAGTTGAAGAAGAATCATAACTTTAGCTTTACTCAGTAAGGAAACATTATTTGCAAGAGATAAGAGTTAAAATCATGAGAACGTTGCCAAGCTAATGAGAGAACTTAGAGGGAAAGTATTTTTCATGTATAGGAACTAGCTGGTGTGAAAGTATACAGTTAGAACTGGGAAAGTAAGGAAATGGGAGGATGGACTGTAGGCTAGCACTAAATGGCCTAAATGAATTTGAGGGAGGCAGTCATTCCAGGTAGTATGCCACCCAAAAGGTGGTCAATGAACCAGCAGCATTGGCCTCATCAGGGAGCCTGTTAGAAGTGCATTTGTGCCCATTTCAGACCTGCCAAAGGAGAAGCTACACTAATAAAATAGAAATATGCAAATTGCTCATACCTCCGCAACGCCCATCAGCCAATCAGGAGTGAGTATGCGAATTAAGCCAACAAAGATGGTGGGTTAATTTGCATATGCAGGTGCAGCTGGGTGGTGCGGGATGGCTGCTATGAGGGGGAGGGCAGGAGCAGAGGGAGCTACAGGAGCAGCACTCTGGCTGGGAGTGAAGACTTGCAGATTTGCAGGCTCCTGGGTGGACAGGAGTGAAACCAGGGTCAGGAAGGCCTACTCTTGCACAAATCTTCATGCAACGGGCCTCTAGTTTGCATATAAAATGTGAGGAGCTCTGCTCCCACCAACCACTTGTGGAGGCATTCTGTGTTTCCCTGCCTGCCTCCAGATTCTGCTTTGGGGAACTTGCCCTCGCTCATTCTCAGAACCTAAAGTTCAGGTGCACCTAACTGCCCCTTGGCTCCAGAGTAGGACCCATGATCCATGCTGAGCTGGGTGTTCTGGACAAGGAAGTACACCCCTTCCTGAGTTTGCTGAGCTGAGTGGATAAAATCTAGAGCTACCATAATTCCACTGCCTGAGCATGAAGCCAACATAGAAAAATGAAGCTAAGAATGGAATAGATCCACTTGCCGCTGGAGTCTTTAGCGTCTTTTTTTTTAGCCAATTTAAATTGAGTTATCTGTTGTTCACCACTGGTAGAATCCTAATAACCAGTGTCCCTGTTCCCCATAATTCATTAGGTTCATTCCAAATTCATGATGTAAACCAATCGCGGGGGGAGGGGAGGAGCGGGGATTCTTCTGTCTCTTCCTTGAAGCCTTTCCAGGTTGCTCTCCCCCACCACCACCACCACCACCAGTGAACTCCCATATCCTGGTGGTTCCATACTCTCCCCGGTGTTGTTACGTATTTTTATTCAGAGATAGGAAGGGAGAAGGAGAGAGACAAAAACATCAACGATGAGAATCATTGATCGGCTGCCTCCTGCATGCCCTACAGTGGGGACCAAACCTGCAACCCAGGCAAGTGCCCCAAACAGGAATTGAACCGTGACATCCTGGTTCATAGGTCAATGCTCATTCACTGAGCCACACCTGCCAGGCTGTCTTGTTTTATTTTCAATGGACCATATGATTTCCAGCTTTCTAGAAGGGCAGGACCAAAGAGGAGAATCATAGGTGCTTCCTCCAGAAGGAAGTCTTATCCTAGGTGCCACTTGTGAATCCTTGCCCAGGTGGCACTGGTGACAGTGAGATTGTTAAAGCTATGGAAGTAATCACCCTGCACTGGTAGCACACTAGTGTATTATCTGGCAAGAAACATAATTCTTCCTTTATTGTAATCTAGAGGCCTGGGGCAGGGGTCTCTCAGCCCAGCCTTTTACAATCCCGGACCACTGGCTCCTAACCGCTAGACTGCCTGCCTGCCTGCCTGATTGCCCCTAACCACTCTGCATGCCTGCTTGATCATCCCTAACCACCTCTGCCTTGGCCCCAACTACCTCAGCTTCATCTGAAAGGTCATTTGGCTGTTGGGTCTAATTAGCATATTATGCTTTTATTATTATAGATTTCTAGAGGCCCAGTGCACAAAATTTGTGCATGGAGGGGGGTCCCTCAGCCCAGCCTGCACCCTCTCCAATTAGGGACCCTTTGGGGGATGTCCGGCTGCTGGACATCCCTCTTGCAATCTGGAACTGCTGGCTCCTAACCACTCAATTACCTGCCTGCCTGATCATCCCTAACTGCCCTCCCCTGCCAGCCTTGTTGCCCTCAACTGCCCTCCCTGTTGGCCTGATTTCGTCCCCAACTGTCCTCCTCTGCTGGCCAATTTGGTTCTGATTGGTTGGTTTCTATGCCAGTCAGTGTCAGGAGCTCCACCTCCTAGACAGCCATTGGCTCCCCACAGCACCCACATTTAGTTCTGATTGGTCAGTTCCTATGCCAGTCAGCATCTCTGGGTCTATCAATGGGGCCTGACCAGAAATGTGGGGCTGATTAGCATATCCAATGGAGGCCTGGAGAGAAATGGATGCACAGCTGCTGGTCAGACTAGGAGAGAAAGAGAGAAGCAAGTGCTGATCAAAAGCTGCCACAGATGCAACGGATCAGTCCCTGCTTCTCTCTTCAGGCCTCTCTCTGGCCCGGATTCACAGCCCAGAGTCAATACTGGGGCACCACACCTGCAGTGGAAGCAGTCAGCGCTGGGTTGCCACAGCTGACTGCAGGACTGACTTCCAGTTGGTAGAGACTTGGT